AGCAGGAGAATGAGGAGAACACTTCTATTCCTGGAGCTGTCCTAAATAAGAGAATAATTCACTTTGTAGTGTGCTCTGTGGTCTTTCAACAGTGGAGTGCTTCTGATTACTTTTGCAATGTCTGTGTTCAATGGATTGCATTTGCAGGATTCAACATTCGATAAGCTTTTTTGAAAAGGCCACAGCAACAGGATGGCAGAACTGAGTGGCAGCTACAGGAATATGCTGATACACTTTGATTTTATCTTTTGTGACCTTGGACGCTTTCCTTGTAGGTTCAATCCCACACTTTTAACCAAGGCAATTTTGGAAGTCCCTACACTTTCACACTGATTAAGTAAATAAAAGATTGAAAAAGAAGGCGCAGACCAGACTGTGATTTTTCTTTTTTTATAAGTGGGAGTTTTTGACAATTTTTCTAAGCTATTCCTCATCAGACCTACAAATCAGGAAGCTATATAGGTGACTTGAAATGTAGAGTATGGGAAGAGAGTTTTCATGATATCACAGAAAACAAGGATATGTAGCAAAGACTGTTCAACAGCAAATTATGAACAGCCAGAAGAGTCAGATTCTGAACTCAAAAGCAATTGCAACCTGTGATAGCATCAAAAACATAGGACTAGAAATGCTTTGCAAATTATTATGACCTCATTATGATCTCATTCTTGGTAAATGTCAACTGTACTAAGAACACTAACATAATAGAGAAATCCGTGTATGGTAGATGTCATTAAATGGCATAAATCTCCTATCAAGCACCTGCCAAAAGGAATCAGAATGGAAAAAAAATCATAGTTACCTCCAAATTAATTACAATGTATCATTCCATTTGATATTGCATTCAATTATTTTTTAAAAGTTGATTGTCTGATTCTGTTTGTTTTTATTTCTTTAATTTGTTACTCTTTTTCTTAAATTATTAACTCTCCAAGGTGGAGACTAAATCTTATTGGAGGTTTTGAACATGCCTAGCATAGTGTGGTCTAAATTATAAGCCAAATAACAGCTGATTATTTATTACTCAGTTAATATTTACTATGGTGCCAGGCAACATACCATGCTGAGGGGCTCTGCACTCAAGGGAAATCCTAACCCCCTAAGTTGTACTATTGACCTCAGTCAGGACAGAATTTCACCCAATGATTTAAAACCTCTGAGATAATTGGCACTAGCCAAAAAAAAATCAGTGCAGTTGTAAGTTTTATTTAAGGTTTCCTTTGATGAAAATATCCAAATCCTCAACTATTCATCAAATATGCTTATTTATTCAGTTGAACGGTCATATATTTATTATTGTTCTACACTTGGACGAGGCTTACAACTATTCCGTTAAAGGAAAGAAACTTAAACACAGAGGACGCGTCCCCACGAATGGGAATGTGCGTTTCCCCAGGGACAAACACCAGCAGCACAGTATGTGCCACTGCTCTTTGTCTTTGTGCGTTCTGGCACACGGCACATTGCCCCAAGTGGTAGAAGAGGCCAAGGCCTACCCCTGGGCTTGCCCCAGCAGCCTTACCTGGGGTCCTGGGGGCCTCCAGGGGCTGAAGCCATGGCAGTCTGGCCAGAGGGAGCCTGGCCAGCAGCCAGAGCATGCAAGTAGGTCAATACTCATTATTATTATTATTGTTATTATTATTTGACCACCCAGGTTCTGGTTTCAGTAGGACACGCTGCCGCCACCCGCACCACCCTGCTTTACTGTTGGTTTTTTTGACGCTGGGATCTCATGCTGTCAACCCCCTCCTCACCTCCACTCTGTAAATTAGCAGCATGAGAAATACCTCCATGTGTGGTGTACAATGCTGCAGACGAGTCTGCAGTGCCACATCCTACACATGTGCACTCATCTGGACACATCCAGAGAGAGCAAGATCCAGTGATTTAGGGTGAGTCAGTTTGTATGTTCATTTAGAGAAACAGAGATTGCCTTTCAGAAGACATATGCCAAGTAGTTTCTTTTTTTGTCTCAAATGGGCACTCAAAATGATTAGCTGTTTTTACAATAAGGTAACATTTTTATTGACAAATCCCCCCCAAAAATGTAAGGGCATCTTCCAGTTCCAGCATTTAGGCCTGGAAATTCAAATCATCTTCAATGGATGAATGATCTCTGTACTTGGGTTAATTTACCAACAGGATGGCCAGTAGTGAAAAAATAGTGAAAAAGTTGTATCAAATGACCTCAGATATCCATCATGAGAAACTTCACTTCGTGCATATAATAATTTGACAAGGTTCATAGGAAAACTAGGCTAGAATTATCTGATTTAGACTCATAACTGTTGCTTGGCAGTTTTACAAATGAAAATGTTCATAAATGTGCAAAAGTAATGACTTTCACTAGTTTCTGAATTATTGCATAGTTCTGTCTGTCCAATTATGAACATCTCTGTGTAGATATCATTCTTGTTTTAGATTTGAAAGCTCATTTTTAAAGTTGTGAATTATGCCTTCTAGATCATATCCAGTGTAAGGAATAAGAATGCTAAGTACGTTCTTGAGGGGGAATATGCCAACACCATTTTTAAAGTTGATGAAGAGACTGGAGATGTATATGCATTCGAGAGGCTGGACCGTGAAAAGAAATCAGAGTACGAGCTGACAGCTCTTATTATTGACAAAATAACTAACCAACGGATGGAGGCACCATCCACATTTGTTATCAAAGTCCATGATATTAATGACAATGTCCCCATATTTGTACAAAAAGTGTTTAATGGATCTGTGCCAGAAATGTCATCAGTAGGTAGGTGTTTCAGCTACTCACTTACACTTATGTTTCTGTGTAGAGGGTTTTTAAAAAAAGAAATAAATGTATCATTTGATTTTTTTTTCTAGGAACTTCAGTCACCAAAGTGACAGCAGTGGATGCTGATGACCCAACAATTGCAGATCATGCCAAAGTCATATACCAAGTCATTGAAGGAGAAAACTATTTCACAGTTGATGAATCTGGTAGGTATGATACACATTTCAACTTTTACCTTCTACTTTAAGGAATATCACAACTTTCAGCCTTAATCTTTGTGGACAAGCTGGAGAATAAGTTAGAAGTTTAGTTATCAGCAAGAATTTATATATGTTCAGGGATGTTTTGTACTAGCAACACTGACAAATGTCACTCTCTCTATTATTTGGAAATCTGAAGGTAAGGTAATAAACCACAAGCGTTTGTGTGATGAATGCTGAGAAGGGAGATAGCAGAGCAGCACCTTGGCTAGGGAGCATGGGGCAAAGAGC